GCAATTTAATCTTTTGTATGACTTTTCACTTTCCAAGATGAAATTATGTAAAAGCAAGGAAAAAATTAAATAAGTGGCAGAATTTACTGTAACATAGGCAAAGATAACTGGAAATACAGTACATAAATATAATTGTAACAAGCTTGAAAGTCAATATTTGGTATGACAGCTGTTATTCTGCAACAAAGTCTGAACTCTCTTAGTCAGCTTTCTAATCATTTGTACAGTTAAATAGTTCTCCAGACTTCTTGAAGGACATTCAAAGCTCTTCTTTGGATGTTTCTGTCTTTTTTCTGTTCTCTGCCAAGATGATCCCACACTGCTTCAATAATGTTGAGGTCCAGGCTCTCGGGAGGCCAATCCATGACAGATGTTGTTCTAATGTGTATTTTTCTTTGGAGTATTGTAGTAGTGTATTTTCTAATGTGCTTTTACTACATTGGCAGTGTTTGGGATCATTGTCGTACTGAAAAATGAAGCTGTTTTAAATCAGTGCTTTCCAGATGGTGGATCAAAGTCTGATGCCACTTTTCTACAATTCTAATTGCATCAATTTTGACAAGACCCCCAACACCAGTGGCTTAAACGCAGCCCTAAATCATGACAGAGCCTTCACCATGCTTTACAGATAAATAGATACAATTCACTGTTTCACCTCCTTTTCAATTTTAAATCATGCTTTTTATTTGTTTTGGGTTTTTAATGTCTCTGTAAAGCACATTGAATCACCTTGTTGTTAAATTGTGCTATATAAATAAACTTGCCTTGCCTCCTGACCTCCTCCATGATTTGATAATGATTTGAACCAAAAATTTCAAATTTGGTGTTACGTTCCCCTAAAAGGGGTCCGGGTGATGAGGGAAAGTAACAAAAAGTGTCCGGGTCAGAAAAAGGAGACGGAGGCAAAATTGTTAAATTAAAGAGTTTTATTAGTTTCGATTAATAACTCAACTAAAAGAGACGGGCAAGCCGCTATCACCATTTAAGGAAAACAAACAAAAACTCAAGCATCAGTAAGTTAACTGAAAAGCAAAGAAGAGTTTACAGAGCTCACCTTTCTCTGGGCTTAAATACCTTTAGTTGCTGATGTGAGTCAGCTGTACAAAATAAAAAGGTGGCACCTAAGGCATGAGACAGTAGGACACACCCACACAAGCAACTTCAGGAGGAGGCCCTGCTAGGGGCATAACATTTGGATTCATCACTCCATTAGACCTGTTGCAGCTGATTTTCAGTCCAGTTCTTCAGTAATACCTCAGCCTTTTTTTTCTCTATTTCTCTTAGAGTAGATGGAACAACTGAGGAGCCAGATGGATCTCTCAGGTCATGTGTCAGGTCTTGGCTGGATTTTTTTTTTTCCTGTTTTAAAGGTATGACTTTCAGATACTCATCTTCCTGTTGTATATAGGTTTTGCCGCATATTCTTTTGTCCTCCACTCTTGTAACAAGCTTTTAAGCAGTCACATAGTTGGTGCAAAAATGCCATTTTATGCTGTTTAAGCTGAGTTATCTTTGGCGTGTTTCAAGGATTAAATTAACAAAATGGGAACAAATGCTGTGTTTTGGAACATGCACCTATTAGCAAGATACAATGACTTTATTTGCTTCGCTTTCTTTATGTGTTGGCATAACACCAGTACATCTCTTGAGTTAGGTGCCTCGTTAATGCTTGTTAATGCTTGCTAATGCTAATAGGTCGGTGTTAGGTGGCATAAACAAAGCTTTCCAAATGGTCAGCTACAAAGACTGGACTGAAAAGGAGTGAAAAGGAGCTAACGTCAAAAGAGAGAGTTATGGCTTAAGACCACTTAAGACCAAAAAAGAAGATACATGAAATTACAGCTCTTTGGGACAAAATTTAAAGAAACGGGGAGGCCCAAGACTTTTGCACAGTATTGTAGTTTCACTTCCACACATATATTCTATAAAACAATTTATTCAAGCTCCTTGGTGGTAGTAACCTATTTCTGATTAGAAATTATATATATATAAGCAGTTAAACTTACTTTTACTCATGTTGTTGTTCTTCCGTTCACTGCTAGCCTCTGATACAGGAACCTGACGCTGAGGACTTGCTTTCGTTTTCACTTGCGATCTTATCTGTTATGACGCACTTTGCCTGTAATGCCAAAGTGTGGCCGGCAGGTGTCAGTGTTGTGTCATTACTGGGCATGCTGAAAGGAAATAGATGTCATGTAGAAATGTTATCCAGTGATCCTTATATATTTGACAGCTGGAGAAAACTGGATGCCCTTTTTAACCCTTAAAAAGGGCATGTTGAAAAAGAAGGGAATTTGAAGACACAAAAATACACCGGACCAGTTGCAGTGCATGATGCCACCCGCTAATATCTGGAATCAGTCCTTCAGCTGTGTTCAGAATGGCAATTTGCACATCTGAAGTCAAGAATAAATCATTCCTTTCAAGCCGTATATTAAAAAAGAAGATAAAAATGTTGTTAATTGGCCTCCTGATATACAAGCAACACTGTGTGACTACATGTTTGTCACTTAACAAAACAGTTCTGTGTGTGCACTTTTTTTCCCCAAAGAGGGTGTGAACAGAAACTGTGGGAGTGATTCTTCACCCATCTCTAATATAAAGTTGCCTGGCTCATCTGTATCTTCCCCCAGTGTCTGATCGGAGTCGGGACAAGCTGACGAACCCTCCCTCCAGGCTTCGCTTGCCTCTGACAAATGAGCCGTGCCGCTGATGGAGTGAGTGGTCATTGGCACCCGTATTCAGTGAGCTCCCAAAGACAATCAAACACTTTAAGAAATATGTTGTGCATTTACAGACACATCATTCATTCCCTAAACATAGATCATGACTCATGCTGTCAAGCCTGACACCCCCACCGCTCTCTCTGGAATCTCAAATCTAAATATGAGTCTTAGTTAAACTGAACGGCTAAGGAGGGGAATGTCTCACTTTTAAATTTGCTCCTGGAAAGCCCGGGTGGTCTCTCATATCTTTTTTTTCCTTAAAAAAATGGCACTGACTAGATTGTTCCACATTGCACTTCTGTCATAGTTTATATCAGTCAAAAAAAAGGTTGTCCTTCTCTGTAATGAGCTAGAACAAGATAAACCGTATGTTCAGTAAATGAAACTGAGGTTAAACTGATTTTCCTCCACAATATTTTTGATTGTTCCACTGAAAAGTCAAGCTGTGCACGCGGCAGAGGTGATTATACCATTTAATCACTGCGCCCCATCGCTGAGCATAGCAGGCTTCTCGCCCCGAGGTTTGATTTACCCGCCCTCTTCCTGAGGAAAAATCTCATTCACTAGACGGATTGCTAAGCGGGTCTCTCCAACCAGCCCCTATAAATCATTCTTTAATCAGAGGCTTCTCAGATTGGGCGCAGACACCCGCAGGAGCACCACTGTGACACCTCAACTCCTCCCCATGCGTCTCTGCAGTCCGGGGAGCTTTCATCCTCTTCTTTTTCCACTGTGAGCTTGTCTGCATTTGTTTTTGTCATCAGGAAGTGTATGACCACACAACGATGCTTTAATGCCTCCTTCTGCTACAAGGAGAGGGGAGGTCTAACAAGATCAGGAACAAGACTACTGATATAGAAGCTGGAAAACAATACAAGGAGCAAAGTGGACAACTAAACCAGTCCAAAGAGGCCCTGAGACCACAGAAAATCCAGTCTTACAACATGTGTGATACTGCAAATATTGGTATCGATCCCATACCAAGTAAATACAGGGACAGTATTGTTGATACCAATATCGATACTGATACTTTTAACCTATGAAGGCAGCTTATGTATGAGAGAGCAGTTGTTATAATTTATGACATAAATCATCATGAATTTGCAAATTCTGAACACATTTTAATGATCACTAAATCACTGTGATTTTGGCTTTACACAATAATTAGTTAACACAATAAAAAAAACACCTTTTCAGCTTTTCATGTATTTTGAAAGTAGGGTTTATTTGTTTGTTGAGACCTGAAATGTAAATGTGTCTGGGTCAACTTCTGTTTTTACAGTGTGCTATAGGCTATAAATAAAATAGGCCTGACAGTCAACACAAAAAGGCTACATACTTAACTTAGAGGATGGATACAAAGTATCGATCCACTCATGCTAGTATCGAGCTGATACAAATATCAGCGTTGGTATCAATACTATCAATATTTGGATCAATCTGCCCACCCCTACAGCCAGTTTGTGCTAATGTAAGGAAACTTTTAATTGGGAATTCAGTACACAACACGAAAGTTCAGATGGCATGACAAGTTGGATCATGCTTTATCAAATGAATGAAGACCAGAATAGTTATAAGACATCAGTCTCACATAGTCCTTTTTTAACTTAAAAGTGAAACTGATCATTAGTAGGTGGTGATTAATTTTCCCAGTAATGGAGTGTGAAGTAAATTCTCACATTGGGACATTTAGAGGGTTGATTTTATCCAACCTTCTGAACACTCGAATGACTCTCTGCTGACGGGATACAGTTTTAAGGTCATGAACCATTAAAAAAAAATGGGGAAAAAAACAACTGTGTTCAGTGTGTTTAAATTTAACCTCATCAGAAGAGATTGAACAAGTGCTGTGATTGGTCCAACAGGAAGAGCAAAGCTTGCTGGGTCTTGAAGTGTTAAATTATAGATATTTAAAGATATTTTTACTCTCGTGTTTTCTGGTGTGTTGGTGTAAATCAGCTCTAATACTATTAATTTTATTAACAAAAATGTTTCACTTTACGTTAATAAAGTGTTTCAAATATTAATACTTACAAACATTCTGTATGTTTACCTTTAAACGAACAAAGAGTCGACTCGGAGCTTAGATGTTAGTATGAAGCGTGATAAAAGGTAAAGTGAGATGAGCAAGTGGAGACAGATGAATACTTTTTATCTTTTTTTTCTTTTCTTTCTTTTTTTTTTTACCATTTTTAATGCAAAGACACCGTGACGTCACTGTGTGGAAATATTTTTCTGTCGTTCAGCCGGTTTGGAGCTGACAGTCCGCTCAAGTTGCCAGAGAGCGCGCATAGCTTTTGCATCCATGCGTGATGGCCACGGACGCGTCCAGGAGTTTTAAAATAGGATGGCTTCACAACTCGGTGCGCAGGGAAAGATACCTTTTCAGGTAAGGAGCTGAAGCGATGGGACTCAGATGGACTGTGGTAACAGACTTGAAGTCTGCTGTTTTTCTTCTTTAAAGCCCGTGGAGCCGCTAGGACAATCATAAAAGGACGGAACGCAAAAATCAATTAAAAAAAATCATGAACTGTTCATACTCATGGAGAGATGGCATGCGTGCTCCTCTTCGGTCGACTTCTCCCCTTCTCACACCGGCTCAGAGGAACGTCCATCTGCTTGTTATCCCTTTTCCTTTCATATTTATTCTACTGCGCTCTATTCCCTGACGGTGCCATCATGCAAACGTCAGGTGATCCGACGGCCGGCTGTCAGCGAGCAGATGGAGCCAAAAGGCGCCTTCAGAAATCCCTTTCCTGCCTTTTACCGTCGGACGCGAGGTTGAGCGCTGTTGAGGCGTCTCGGTTGAAAGCCGACCAAAGACCCCATTTCGCTCATCACACCGCCGGGAACGGCACGCCCAGCCCGCCTATGAGCAATTTAAAGTTCGGCAATAAAAAGTTACCAAATGCCATCATAGTCGGTGTGAAAAAGGGAGGCACGAGAGCCGTCCTGGAGTTCATAAGAATACATCCGGATGTGCGCGCGGCGGGAACCGAAACACACTTCTTCGACAGGAACTATGACAGAGGCCTGGAGTGGTACAGGTAAGACAACGTGTGTCTCACCTGTGCAGGTGCGTGTCCATCTGCTCCACAAATCCCGCAATTTATCATAAATCATAGTAATAAGTAGGAAATGACACCAGATTAGACTTCAGTCAGTTTTTATTGCACAATATCTGACTTTAAGATTCTTGGTTTAAGTGGTTTTAGCTTAAGTAATTTAACTAGTTTATGTAATCTAGAAACTGGTCAAAGAGCAGCCTTTTCTCGTGGCTGCTGCTCCCGCAGAGACCCACGAGTGTGTCTGGAAATTTGTTGCTTCTAGTCAGCTGTGCTTGCATAATTCTGCATATCTGATTAGGCCGTTTCTCTCCCACCAAACTAAATGTTAATGATAGTAAATTATGGAGAATGATACACTATATTTCCAGCTTCGTTTTCTAAAAGGTCATAACGATTGCAGGCCAATATAACCGTGTGCCTTCACATGGTACATAGGGAATTACAGTGGAATTCAGGTAAGCGGTGTAGCGCCTCATTTACTTCTGTTTTATGCCTGAATCTGTCCCCCCCC